TGAAAAAACTTAAATATAGTTTTATTGGTATTTTTGGAGCTTTTGGTACTACCCTCTCATTAAAATTAAAATTTTATCCTGATAATCAATGATGAGTTTTATTTTCACATACACTCACAAATTTTAACATATTTACATATGTAGTAACATATATATATATATATATATATATATATAATTTTGATTCCATTAATTTCATATTTTTCATATAAAAACCAAAACAAAAAATGTTATATATATGGACCGAAGTAAAAAATGAATATGTAAATATGAGATAACAATGTTATACGGATGTTAATTTTTTTCATTCAAGAATTCGTTTTCAAAAATGTTATATAAAAGTTAAATTAATAATACAAATTTTTCATAGGAATTAAAATAGTATTTAAAAATTTAATAATAATAAAAAAGACAAACTAAGAAGATAGCAATAAATCAATGCAGAATCTTATCACAACTTAAGGTCTTGCATTCGAGTGAGTGGTTGAATCTTCTTGAAATTTATCATTATTTTTACTTGTTTATGTAAGTTTTTTTTTTTTTTATTTGACTGTTATTAAATTAAAATGAGTAACTAAAAACGATAAATTTTAATTTGGTTAACTTTTCAATAATCGTTCTTTGTGGATGGATATGTGAATGTTAAAAATTTGGTCAATATAACTAAAATATTTATTTTAACATAGTTGTATAAATTGACATGATGAGATTAAATCTTTACCCTACCTGTTGAAAAAAAAAAGTTTACCCTACCAAATGTAATTAAATTCAAACGTTATATTCACTTTAAATAATTAATTTTCAAAATGAAAACTATCTTTGATTATCTTCCTGGAGAATAAAAATTGACAATTCAATAAAATTTCTATGAAATTTCCGTTGTCCTTTGTCTACACAACGAAATCTTAATACGCTGCGACAATAATTTAGGTGGGGAGAAAAATATGTAAATAATTGAATTAAATACGAATTAACACAAAAATATAAAGGAAGGAACAAAATAAAAGTAAAAATTTAACAGTTAACTCATATAAAAATAGTTTCTTATTAAACAAGAGGGGTATTTGAAGGGGAATATTTTACTCCAATCATTTTTTGTGGGATACATCTCTATTTATCTTATTAGTGATATTTCAATTTTTTTTTTATCATTTTCGATATTGACAATCTTGTTTTTCATTTTTTTTATATGTGTTATTATATCACATAGAAACGCACAAAAAAGGGAAATATATTCTAATCTAGAAGGTTACAGGCGAAATAAAGGCTATGCAGAGCCTATAGTATTTTTAAATAGATCATGTCGTTTACATTATTCTTCTATGCTTTCGTCTCAATCCACCATAATCTTCATATTTAATTTGATTCTGGCGCTTAAGATAAGTAAAATAAGAACCTTTTCACATATTTTTCGCCAAATCATTGACTAAACATGAGCATTATTTATTCCCATATCTATTACCATTTTGTCCCATTCTTCTGGAACCAAACTGGTCCTAAATGAATATACAAGAAGAGTTTGGTGCTAATTAACGGTGCACCGTCAACCTATTTAGTTGAACTACAAGTAGTAACTTACTGCAAATGCAAGCACAATGACAACCCATTTTAACCTTTTTTGAGTTGACTCTACAGCTTCATAAATCCCTTTCAGCCTTTCGCCAAGCAAGTAGTACACATTGGACATAGTGCACAGAAGACTTTAACTGTTTACTCACTGTCAATTAGAAAAAGTTCTCGTATCTCAGAATCAATGATAGATACCTTCCATTCCCTTCGTTTTCTTCCTAGCACAGGGTTTGAAAAGAGTTGCTTTAGTAACAATTATTATCTTATAAAAACTATAGCCAGACAACCTGAAAGGTTGCTTCTTCACTTTATCTGTAGGTTTGCACTGTTCCGGTGAAAGTAAATTCAATTTCACTTAATTGCGGGAGATCATATATGAATGAAGGTTAGGGACCACTTTCTGTGCAAATATAATTAACATCTTATCTTCTTATCTCCTGTCCTTCTTATATGATACAATATTTCAATTTCATTTTTCTGTTCCTGCCTTTTTCTCAATTATATTATGTTAATTGTATATAATATAATTTTTGTCGGGTTTTCCCTTTTTCTAACAAAGCATATTTTGTCTCCCACTCTCAAATGGGTCCCAGCAACAGAGAAGCTAAGATTTATTGTTTAGTTTATCTACATAGTATTATTAGAGACGAGAATCTTGTGAAGGCCAGAAAGGTGCTCTAGTTTTTGTACAAATAATAATATGGTTTGCATTATATACATCACCTTTAATTTCCCTCATGTGTCTCCGATGTAGTGTATAACGATTTGATTATGATGTATTAGTAACTTCAAGTATTTTTCATTATCATAAGTCGTGTTTTCTAATATTCCAGAGATTGAAAAGATATTACAATAAATTATTGATCGGGATATAAAAAATTATATACATTTATATATACAATAAGTTAACATATAATGCAATGCATGCGTGTGTCTAACCACATCATATATCATGCCTTGGGTACAAAGAAGATTCAGGGAAAAACATGGTGCGTTCAGATTGTACTTGGACTGACGAATTGATTATCTTAAAAGCTTACCAACACAAAATTTATTGACTTGCACACTTTTATGTAAACGAAAAAGCTACTAAAAATGCTAAAGCTGATTACCATTATTTTGGAATCCAGAAAAGGACAGGCGAAACAGTTAGCTCTTAGGAGGACACAAGCAATGCTAGAAGCAATTTTTACGCACTTTCCTTAAAAAATATATTAAAAAAAGTGTGAAAATGTTAAAGATTTTGCTGTAACTGGAATTGGTCTGAATGGGTTGAATTAGTGTTTAATCGAGGCTCAGAAGCAGCAAGTGGTGAATGCAAAGTAGGAGGGTCCGCAATTACGCCTCACCGCTAGCTCCCAATCTACCTCGAAATGCGTTCTGAGAGAGCAGTGACCAGTTGCATAGCTTAAATCGTAGTGATTCGTCGCGGCTTTATTTTGTTTATTCATGAGATTTAAAAATTATATATACTCAAATATGGTATTTTTCCAAAAAATTAAAAGATGAGCCCAAAAAATTGTTATGATATATTTTTTAAAAATATTTAAAATTTATAAAAAGTTAAAATTTGTCAATAAATATTTTAAAATTAAAAATAAAAATTTGTCAGTAGTAATTTTTAAAAAAAATTTAAATACTAAAAAAGTCTCAATGAATAAATTTTAAAAAATTATATTTTAGTAATTCTTTTCAAACATCATATTTTAATCATTTTCCATATAAAAAAAAAAAGCCTTCGTCAGGATCTAAGTCATTTATTAACTTTTCCATTAAATTTTTTAAATCAATTGTATTATTTCAAATTTTTAAATATATATGATAAAAAAATTCTATGCGATAAATTTTTATTAAAAAGTGTAATATTCAATCTAATTTAATAAATTAATATTATTAAATTTTATAAAATTATTTATATGACTCTTGTATAATATTACACAGTTAAAATATCTTTATCTTCAACTAAATTATGCAAATTGATAAAAATTGTTAATTTTTTTAATTTTTAAATAAAATATAAATTGATTTATAAAAACGATCATAAGAATTATATAATTATTTAATTTTGTTAATTTGATCCTTGAGATTAAATTTAAACATATAAAATAAATAGTTTTTATTTAAAAAATACATTCATTGCATTAAAATTATAACAATATAATAAATTTATTTTAAATAAAATTTTACTGTTATTAATTTTATAAATTTCAACCTTAAGAGTTGATGTTAACATTTTTTATATATTTATATTTATTTTTATATATAAACATTTCGATCAAGAAATACGTTTCATTCTTAGGCGATATCTGAAATTTCTTTTAAGAATCTAACTCCTTACCATTTAATATGTATTCAATCGTTATTAATTTAATTTCAAATATATTTTATAATGGCATGGAATCTGACAAGAGAAATTTGGTACTTTTTAAAAAGTAATTTCCCTTAAGATAGATGAAAGATTATATTCTGGGAAGATAAACAAGAATTTCAGATACAAATTCAAAAGGAAGTGCATAAAAGATGTTAGAAGAGAAATTTGTAATTGGTGGGTCATGTCCAAATTTATCATCTATTATCCTATTTTTGATTTGCTACAAGATTTTGTCTTTTTATTTTTCTGTTTGGGTAAGTATATGGAGTTAGGCCCACACTACTCTTATCCTCATCTCGGCCTTTGCGGCACTTTCCGACGGTGACGGAGGAGGTAAGCTTGAAGCTTGCAGTGGATTTTTCTCCAGTGTTGCTCTGACATATGTCATGTGATTGTGGGGGCTACTTGGCCCTTTATCAAAGAAATTAAAGTAGTAAAATTTCAAGGCAAAGCAAAGCAATGAACTTTCAGTCAAAAGGATGGCACATACAACACAAGCTTTGAAACCCGGTTCATGCACCAGCATTTCAACCAATCTTTCTACCCCAGCTCCACCGCTATGTGGTCCCTCTTCATTCTCAACCGTTCATCTTACGTCCCTCGACCTTTGACCTTTCACCAAGCCACAAAGATCAACGGGGGATCAAAAGCCTCTCCTAGAGGCAACCCCACACATCATGGGCGGTTCCCATCGGCGATAATTAATAAAAATGTAAAATTCAATCATCATCATAAATGAGAGCGCTTCATTGATTTTCTTTACGTTTCCGAAGATCAAATATTGCTCACAAGTTGCTATAAAAAGAGCTTCCACTTACAGTGTTGGTCGGTTCCAGAGATAAATAATCAATCTCTCTCTCTCTCTCTCTATCTTCTTCTATCTGCACTTTCTGCACTCTCATTCTACTATTTTATTCTTTCTCTTACCCCTTATCTCTCTCTGATACACAAATCCTACCTTCACAGACAGCTCTTACCCGTTCCCTGAACCCTCCCATACTCTGCTACCCTCTTTTCTCATCTTCTCCATTCATCTCTCTCTCTCTCTCTCTCTTCTTTCATGGATGTGGACATAGTGAAAACTTCGGCGAGTGACACCAGCAATATGGACATGATGGCAATGATGATGCAAATGGAAAAGTTCCCTGAATTCTGTGAACCTTTTTATTCCACCACTCCCACTTACCAAGAAAACGAGTTATTATTATCGAGTGGAACCGTTTCCACCCTATTCAACGTTAACCCAAATGTAGCTCCACCGACATTGATGGATGCACCACCGTCAAATGTTATCAACAACAGCAACAACCTTATCCAACAGCCTATGACACCACCTTTTCAAGTTCAACCACAGCCCAACACTTCATTCTCATCCTATCCATCATCATCATCGGATAGAAGAAACTCTATGGCGGCGATGAGGGAAATGATATTCCGAATTGCAGTGATGCAACCGATTCATATAGACCCTGAGTCTATAAAGCCACCAAAGCGAAGGAATGTGAAGATTTCCAAGGATCCGCAGAGTGTAGCAGCGAGGCACAGAAGGGAAAGGATAAGCGAGAGGATAAGGATTTTGCAGAGATTAGTTCCTGGTGGCACCAAAATGGACACTGCTTCGATGTTGGATGAAGCTATACACTACGTTAAGTTCTTGAAGAAACAGGTGCAGACACTGGAACAAGCAGGGGCAAATAGACCTCAAAATTCCGTTGGTTGTGTTGGTTTTCCTGGGGGGATGTCTAACTCCAATGTTAATTATTCTGGGCTGTTGATGAAGGGTTGCCAACCTTATCCAGTGTTGGGTTCTGCTTCTAAACAATTGCTCAGCTGATTAATTAAGTTCCCGAGAATGTAGAAGTAAGAAGGGGAATTTGATTGTTTATGATGAAAAGCAGTGAGTTCTGTAGTGTTAATTGGTGTATGGTTTGGTGGGTCATGTGATCATAAAGAAAATGTTTCTTCATGTTATGGCCATTGTTGCTATGAATTTCTTCGCTTTAACAACCTAAAAGGTGGGTGGGGGATAATCGAAATTTCAATAACGTATGGGATGAATCTGTTATTCATTTTCTATGGTTAGTTTATTTTGTTTATTTAAGTTATGGTTAGAAGTCTGCATTGCAAACCTCTACCGTCAATCTAGTTAGACAAAGAATGTTAGTTATACCAAAATAAAAATAAAAATAAAGCATTTTAATTTAAAAGCAAACTTGCATAAAATATGAATGTTTCTTGGAAGATCTAGACGCTTACGATCACTTTATCATATATTTATCAGACTTTTTTTGACCGATTCGATAATGTTATTTTGTCTTCTAAATATCTGATGGACAAGTTTTCCAAGTGTTGATCTGCTGAATCTCATTAGGATTCACATGCAAATTCACTTTCACTGCTTTATTTTCATCCTTGCTGTCTGAAACTACTCTACATAGGGTGCAGTATACATGAAGATAGTAAGCATAATTCTCGTTTTTCATTTATCTTTTAGCCTTCAAGAGATTCTTGCTTTTCATTCTTCCACCCTCCAAGAAATAATGTAGCCAATGTCAGCATTGCCCCCCACCCCCACCCATCTTTTTCTTTTGAAATATTTAATCTTTTGTTATGTTCATCATTTGCATTCTTTCGTCTTTTTTTGTAGGCTAATTATAGATCAGTGACCGGGTTTTACCCGATTTAGATGTGGAACTTCTATATGGATACGAGCAAGAAACAATCAAGGGGAAGAAAAGTGATCAAAGTTGCTATTACACGTAGAAAATTAGTTTAAAATCGTCTTCATACATTTTACCTCTCAACTTTCACTCCTCTTGTTTTCGTTTCTATAATTGTTTTATAAAATTTAAATTGTTTATAAATTAGATCAAATTCGTAAAATTTTATATAATTTAAATAATAACTGATATTTTACCGTTTTATTATATTTTAACAAGATATATTATTTTAAATATAAATAAATAGATACCGTTGAGTTATATATTTAGTTATTTACAGATATTTAAAGTTTATAAAATTTTATATGCATTATTTTAATAAAACTTTAAAGGTGCCATTTGGTATTATCAAGCATGTATATTTATAAATTTTCACATAATTTAAATATTAATTATATTTTACTATACTTTAATAGATTTAAAATATAAATAAATAACTACTTATATATTATATATCTACGATATTAATAATTAGATTAAACAATTTGTATTTAATAATAAATTATTAAAAAATTAACTTTACACTTGATGTTATTTAATTCAATTATAATAGAAAGAGAGAGAAAGAGCGCGCTGAATACTAATATTAAAATATACATTTATCTTCGACCACTTTATAACAACATCAAAATCAAGCTCTCATCTTTGATGTGGTCTATAATACAAACCGTATACTTCAAGTCCTTTTGTTTTCCTTTTCGTTCAATAATTAAATTTTAATTAGTAATATCCAGCACATTCTTTTTATAGATTGTATCAATGGTATCTATTGGCTACCAATCGAAGTTTTATTGAGGTAAAGATAACAGTAGATATAATTAATTTCTTTTAATTATTTTCTTATACGAATGATAGAAAATAAAACCCTTATCAATATACTCATTACTAATTTTCTTTACAATCCTCGTTATATATTTTTAAGTAAAATATTAATTAAACGTAAATAATATATATATATATATATATAATTGTTTTAATACAACCTTTATAAAATATAACTCAAATCCTAAAATAATTCTAATGAAATTAGTAAATAAAATATATAAATTCTTCATAAAATTCTTGCACAAGTTCATTTAATGTTTCATTGATGTGTATAATTTGTGCTCTTCTATAATCTTTCATTTAATGTTTGTCCATTAAGTATCATATATTATTTTAATTGTCATATATTTTATTTAAAATTTAATCACTTTAAATATCAGAATTTTTATTTAGTCTTTCATCTTTGAAGACACTTAATAACATGGGAAATAAATAAAAGTTGACTAATAAAAACACTATATGAAAATGAAAAAAAGAAGGAAACTAATTCAATTTGACAAAAAAATAAAATATATTTAAGCTAAAACTATATAGTATATATTATCAAAGTAATTTTATATTTTGACTCCAAAATGGATTATGTTTAACATTTTACGTCATCCATTGATTTGCTTTATTTAAATTAAAAGGTTAAAGAGAGAAAGCGAATACAAAATAAGAAAGAAAAATGTGAATAAAAAATAGGAAGGATTGTTATTAATGAATCAATACAGGAAAAGTAACAAATTATTTTTTAACTATATATAACTGAAACTAATAACAAACAATTTTAACTAACTTTACTCTAATAGGAATATTACTCTCAACGTTCCCCGTCAAACTCGTGGAGACATAATTATAAACTACGACTTTTTCTTTAACAAAACAAATAAATTTCTAAATGTTTAGCGGTTAGGATGTGATTTACTTTTATTTTTTTAACCATAACTTTGTTTCTAGCAAAGAGCAAATTAATTTCTACACGTTTAGTTATGCAATAGATAATGAGATTTGCAGCCAAGAAAATAATATTGATTTGTTTGTATATTGTGTAGTTTAGCATAAAAAAGTTACAACTAGGTTTAAGATATGTTTTGGGCCTAAATTAGTTGCAAAATAGAGTTTTGCAGCAGTGAGCATGCCCAAATCCTATCATCATGCATGGCCCTGCTTTTCTTTTACTCTTCGATATATTTTTCATTTCGTCTCTCTTGCACGAGATCATTGACAAACTCTTGGTAAAACTTTAAGCTTCGTGCAATTGTACTTGAAGATCGAGAAATCATCTTTTTCTAGTTTGTTTTTCTCTATAACTTTGTTTACGATTGTTTTAATTATTCTCTTTAGTATGAGTAATTAAGTTTATAGTTAGGGCTATGAGAACTATTGTTTATGAATTTATGAGATTTTGAAGTTTGAATCTATATTTAATTTTCGTTCGCGATTATCTTTTATTTTATTGTGCCTAATTATAATCTTAATTAATTATATCGTCAGACGACTGTACCTTAATTAGTTAATAGATTTATGGAATAAAATGAAACAATGATTAGGTGTACTAAACTAATCTTTCTCTTCTAATCATTATTAAATTAACAAGTTTATAGGTGATTTATGTTTTCTTTAATTGATGTTTTGTATGATCATTGGATATTAATAGTATTTATATGAATGATTGGTGATCAAAAGAAAATTAAATTTAGAAAATGAAAAAATAACATACAAGATTAAATAAGAAAATTTATATGCCCTAAGTTTCTCTTCTATAAGCTCAATCAAGACGTGTGTTGTGCTATTTGCTTGTATTCATAATTAATTTTATAATTAAATTTTGGTTCTTACTTAATTTCACATCTTTTAGACTCAAACAATTGAATTAAGAAATTCTTAGTGTTTAAAAATCAATATTTGAAATATGATATTTTGAGAACTTATTTTAGAACATTTTATTATTTCTCGATGCGTATATTTACTCTCTTGACAGAGTTTATTAAAGAAAATAATAAAATTAAATTAAAATTTTTTTAATTCAAACTAATTTGGCAGCTAAAGTCATATATTTGAGTTTAACAGTTATAAATCTAGAGATTGTATATTATTAATTTCTTTGAGGACTATGAAATGATATTAGAGTCTAGAAAAACACATTAATGCACTTGATGTAAATTTCCTTTCAAAATTAGTTTCCGGTCTGAACTAGAAAAAAGTTAAGAGGGGCAATGTGGATGACTTGACTATAATAAGTTTATAATTGGATGTTCTTTTAGATATCTCATGATTCTCTTAACTGTCTTTCAATGAAATGTTTTAAAATTTTGTATAAACTGACTGTATTTTGTTTATAGAAAAGGTTTTCTCAAGTCTGTGAAAATAATGGATTGAAAGGCACCAACCACTGAAGAGTGGAATTCGGTTCAGATCAAAATTTAATAATTGTAAACTTAAAACCACAAGAATAGGCATAGGCTTCATATTAAACACGCTAACTTTAACAAGAAAGTCGTTAATATACTCTTCTTGAGATAAATAAAGACCTCTACTTGAATACTTTAAAAAAAAATTTGAGAAGGACCAACATCCTTCAATAGAAAGGTAAGATGCAGAGATAAGACGCGCATGTACATTGAGATTTTGAAAAAGTAAAAATTTAAAATATGTCATGTGACAGTATTGTTATGTATAAACATTTAGATATAAGCTTTTGATCAACTGTTGTTCCGAAATAGAAATCGGTTTCAAGTTTGTTGGTATATATAACACCAATCTTACAACTAGCTAGCAGCAGTCAGAACTCCGATTTCCCTTTTTAATTTCTTGAAGAATGGAAGAATATTATTGTCAAATGGTCTCACATTTCATACGGTGGTCAATGATGTAAAAAAATGGATTTTACAAAACATTTGATCGTGGTACGGATACGTGCAAGATGAAAATATAATTAACTATTATTACCCAGATGCTAAATTTGATTTGCTTCCAATTAATAAACTGAAATCGAAGTCGCGAATGTAATATGCAGCATGGAAGTCCAAAATTATATTTAGACATAAGAATGGATTTGGTAATAAGAAACACTGGGCTTTATTATATATTATCTTGTCTTGTCCCTTTAGCACGCACCAACTATAACCACATATAGTATTTTAACTGGTGTATTAGAAGAGAAGGGGTGAGGGGTGGAAGTAGGTTGCCTCCTGCAGCAAGGTCGAATAATTTTGGTGTTCATGTCTGAAGGGTCATGCCTCAGAAAAACCATTGCTTTTATTAATGCTAACTGTGATCAAATAAATAAATGTGAGAGATACGGACA